CCTCGGGGCCATTTTATTTGAGTGTACCTTTTTAGGGTAAGTTAGCCTGCGACCACGGGAATCGACCGCATCGAGTGTTGGATCAGTACGGACATACGAAGGTACTGGGTAGAGAGAGATCGGAACGGTTGTTAATGTGAAGACAACAACAACCCTATTTTTGTTTTGTTTCCCCGCGGCGTCGTAAGTGCCGGGTTTTGAGACCACGGGCTCCCCATTTTTTGTGGACTTTAGTTCTAGAGCTAATAATGTGAGAAACAACAACACCACCACCAACAACAACAACAGCCCACTGGAAGACCCCTTCAATGTGGAACGATTCCTAGTCAGTGTCGATGTTTACACTGCTGTATCTATCACAGATGATCTGGATAGATTCGGGTGATTGTCAATTGCAATGATGGCTTTGGTTGGTTGTTCTTCATTGTAGACTGGACTAGTCTATGTTCACGGACGGACTCATTCTGGCAGCATTTCAGACAGCAGCTGCATGCCCCGAGCTTGTGTACCATGCACCAACCATGGTGTTATTATTGTACAGGCAGCACTTCAGAGCGCAGTACGCTGTAGTCGACAAATATCCATTTTGGTTGATTAAGTGCGGGACAAGGGATGTAGGTGATGCTGCTGCTAGTCGAATTGTAGTTTTTGTTTTTTTGTTTGTTTCTCTCCCATCATTGGACTCTGTCGTCTGCCCCTCTGGCCCCTATCCTCCACTTCTACTGGCTAGACGACCCAACCGGGGTCACATAGGAGGGGGAGGTTGGACCCCCTCCTGCGGTTCATGCCTGAGGTATTTTTATCGCGGGAAGGGTACAGCAATAATCCCTTCCCTCGCGACTTACGAAGTCGATTATGGTTTACCAACAAACGAGCTTTACAGCGCAACGCTTTCATCCTAGAGCAGGATTTATTTAGTGAGAAAAAAATCCTCTTTGCCGGGACTCGAACCCATGACATGGCCCTTAGCAGGCCGCGAGGCTACCCACTAGACCACCGGGGCGACCGGTGTGTGGGCGTGTAGTTCAGTTGTGAGCATGCAAAAAGNTTCCCTCGCGACTTACGAAGTCGATTATGGTTTACCAACAAACGAGCTTTACAGCGCAACGCTTTCATCCTAGAGCAGGATTTATTTAGTGAGAAAAAAATCCTCTTTGCCGGGACTCGAACCCATGACATGGCCCTTAGCAGGCCGCGAGGCTACCCACTAGACCACCGGGGCGACCGGTGTGTGGGCGTGTAGTTCAGTTGTGAGCATGCAAAAAGCGTGCTGCAGGGATTGTAGGTGTACCTCCTCGGGCTTGTGTACCCTTTTCTTGCTAACTAATAGTGTGCGTGTTCTTTAGTCTAGATCATCTTCCGATGGCTCTAGCATTTTTGTGACCACGGACCGAGTATTTCCTAGATTTTGGGATTAGCAACTGACACGAAGAAAACAACAACCCACTTTTTTTGTCTATTATTTCCTAAATATTATTCTTTGTAATTTCGGTTAAACGTTGCACAGACCGGAGTTGCCGTCCGAAAAAATAGTGTTGTTGTGGCTATTCCGAAGGTTTCGAAGACTTCCGCGTGCTTATGCGGAATATATATATATAAATATCCCGAGGAAGTATATTAGCCGCCTCTCTCACACACCTCTTCTAACACACGCACATTACATGCCACACTTCCTCACTCCGTCCCGTCTCTGCCGTCTGACCACCCGAGCATCAGCACAAGTCCTGAAGATTCGCAACGCCCCGATGTAAGTACATTGTTTCCTTCCCCGCTAGCGCTCCGTGCGCTCATTTGGTCGAGTTGTGAATGGACTAAACAAATGTAGATGAATGCGGTCACAGGCTGAAGAAGACGAGCGTTCTTTTCAGGTCGATCTGTGTAGTCTGACGGGTGTTGGAGTGAACAGCTCGCCCAAGAAATCCCAGTACATTATTTTCTCATGATCTGCCGTTGTTACCTCGACATGTATGTATGTGCGATGCCCGCGGATATGAGACAGAAGGAACGTTTGATCTGCAGCCCAAGGCCAAGATGCATCTACCTTCGCTCGTGCTACCGACGCTTTGCCTGGGGGTGGCCATTGGTGAGAGAGAGAGAGAGAGAGAGAGAGAGAGAGAGAGAGAGAGAGACTATGTAGAGAGAGGTAGTAGTTTTCAGTGTGAGTGGTGATGATCTGAACCTTTTCGATCACCGATGGATCACAACGTTCCTGTAGGCTGGTGACTGACACGTTTCTGAGACGGCGCAAGGAATATAGACTTTTATCTATTTGATTCAGTTCTAATCGCGGGGAGAGTGCCTCAGATCTCGGTGAAAAGAGAAGACTCCGCTTGTATTTGTTTGGAGTCGTCTTGAGTTAGAAAATTGTTCTACCTTCACGGACGGACAGATACTTTATTGCTGTATATGTCATATATTTGTGAAGCGATTTGTTGTGCGGTTTCGCGGTTAGGCAACTAACTCTGCACAAGCTCGGCGAGACAAGCAGAGCGCTTATGGTATTGTAGAAGAGAAGAGATCTTTGCTCCCTGGCTGGTGCACGGAAGGTCTAATAAATGCAGGGATCCAAACAATATTCCCGACGGCCCTTCATCTTGAAATGTTTTTACGATTTGGCTGCGACTTGTGTCTCAACAATTGTTCCGCGGACACTCTCTTGCGGAGTAGTTCTACATGGTGTCGCAATTAACCCCACCCATTTCCACTTACCCCGCCCAATGGGGTAAATATGGCTTGCAATGCCCGATGGGGTAAATTTGACAAGTTTGTACCCTGACCGGAGGGGGGAGGCTACCAACGCTTTCTTATTGTTGGCGGTATCATCATATCCATCCTGGTCGCAGCCTAGGCCTATCTCTCGATAGCTATGCATACCATGTGTGGCGGATCAGGTCGGGGTCGCCAGGCCCGGCCTCATTTGCAGACCCAGACTTCGTAGCCAGACCCATAAAAGAGTTTCAGTACAATAGATCCGCAAAGATCCAGAAAACTTCGGGGTAATGCAAGGCTAATGTAATGGTGTGTCCGACCCCGTTCTGACGTTTTTCTTGTCAGGGATAGACATCACGGTAGGTTGCCTGCGCCGCACAACAACAGTGAATAGCCCGTGGGCGCGGGTTTCGGTGGGATACAGCACGAAAATGGCCGATCCCCACCACCACCCCACTCGCTGTTGAAGGAGATACCGCTGACACGTCGGCAATAAAAGTCACTAAGTTGAGCCAACGGTTTCCGTATTCACACTACAATGTACTGTAAACACGCGACTGGTTCTAAATATTCCTCTCCCTGCCTGGAAACAAACGTTTTCGGGCAATACACACGGCCGTTGGCAACCAATCCAGGCGTGACCACCGCCCAGACCTGCGACAACGGCCTCGCGGGTGTCTCCACCGGCGTCTACTGCTGCACGCTAGGGTGTGGCACGTGCGGCGGTTCGGGCTGCTCTTCGAGAGCTGAGGGCTTGAATGGCGACGGTGGGTTTCCTCTACCATTGTGTCCATCGTTGGAGTCTTGTATTTTATTTTGGCGCCCGGCACCCATCCCATATTGGTACCGTTGTCCGAACGGGTGACATGGAGGCCCAAATGCAACAACTACGTAAAAATAGCCGCCAAGAATGACCACAGGTCTTCATGCCGCTCGCTATTATAGTTACCCCCCCCCCTGACGCGGAATGTCCGTTGTACATGAAGGAGAGGGAAGTATACGTGACTGAGCTGGGAAAATATATATGGGACGTGCAGGGAGATGTTTGGGCATGGAATAGAGAGGAAAGGACGGTAGCTGTACTGGGGCATAGGAGGTGGGTTGAAAAGGCGGGAAGGGATATCGT